ATCTATTTCAAAGATTAAGAGTTCTGACCAATTCTTGAATCAAGTAAAATAAGCAATTAAAATAAAGACAGCAGCAGAATTAAAGAGAGTAAGGTTTAGAGAAATACAACCAAGTAAGGTTTAGAGAAATACAACCAATATTTATACTGGTTCACCCAATCCCAGGGCTACGTCCAATTCTCAGCCAAATTCCAGCTGAGTTCCACTATATTGAATGTTTTACAAATTACAGATTCCAATCACACACCCAATCTACCACAAGAACCAAAATTTCAGTCCTTGCACCTAAACCTTTACCAAGAACCAACTTACAGTTCTTGAACCAACCTGCAGCCAAATTCAAGTCACAGAAACCGTGCCTAACAATTCCAGGCACTCACAGAACAACAAAGAATGAAAGAAAACGAAAGAGAAAAAACCAGAACAATCTAACCCGGATTATGTAGCCCCTGCAGTATGAGTTTCTTCACAAAAACAATGCAAAAATGCCTCAAGAAAGAACATTAAAAAACATCACAAAACTTGCGTGATTCTTTCTTGAAAAACTTCACTTATGATTGCTTGATTGATTACTCAAAGGTATTTTAAAAGACTAAAGCAATCCTGTTTATATAGAGATTTATTCTAACTGCTGGTTTAATTAATCTGTTAAAACAATCTTTTAATCTGTTAAAAGTCTTGAATTAATCTGTTAAAAATTCTTTTAATATGTTAAAATGTTCTTGATCATTTTCCAGATTTGTTTTAACTGATACTACAACGTTTCAATCGATTAAAACACTTTGTAAAAAATCCTTTAACTTGTTTTAATCGATTAATTCACAATTTAATCGATTAAAATTTTGCCAAATATTTTCATAAAACTTTCTAAGTGATTTTAATCGATTATTTCAAAACTATATCAGTTGAAACACTGGCAGAAGGTTTTCAAAAACTTCTTTAATGAAAATAATCGATTAATTCGAAAGTGTATCGATTAAAACAATTCCAGTGAATGTTTTAAAAGGTTTTAATTGATTATTTCGAAAACCTATCAATTAAAAATCTGTTATGTAAGTCTTAAGAACATTTTCATTGATAAAGCTCATATAATATCTATTAAAACAATTTGCTAAAAACAATTTAACCAATTACTTTGGTTTTTAATGGATTAAAAACATCTTTTGAGGCATTTTCAAATTCTTTCAAAAGATGAAACCTCATGCAGCAGAGAGATATGAATGATTATACCTATGTATAGATACAGACTCACTAATCACTCTACCCTTTTAACCCAAGTAACCTTTGACTTCATCAGATTAGCATTTGACTTCATCAAATCAACAAGATCTTCGTTTAATCAAATGATTCAATAAGATTTTCATCACTTTCAGTGTTCACTTCTGATATGTTGTTACTTCAATTAGGATGTTGTGACTTGGTACTCAGTATAGAATGGTTAATTACTTTGGGTGATGTTACTTGGAATTTTGAAAAGTTGACAATGTAGTTCTTTATTCAAGGGAGGAAGTTTGTGTTAAGAGGATCATATAAAGAACTAAAAATTATGAGAAGAATACTAGGAAAAACAAATGCCTTGGGTGTTCATCTATGCATGTTCCACGTCTATGATCAACACAAGGGTACCATATTTCATTCTTTAACAACTCATGCTTCTTTAGGTGAGGAGAAAACCAATATTGCAGAATTGTTATTACAGTTCTAGGATGCCTTTTCTGAGCCAGCTAATTTGTAACCTAAAAGAGAAGGTCATTACCACAAAATCTATTTGGTTCTGGAAGTTACTGCAGTAAATAAAAGGCCTTATAGATATCTAAACACAAAAAAGACATCATTGATAAACTGATTCAAGAGTATCTCAAGAGCGGTACCATCCAACACAACAAGAATCCTTATTCTAGTCCAGTGGTATTAGTTGGGAAGAAGAATTGGTCATGGGGATTATGTGTTGATTATAGGAAACTTAGACAAATTTCCTAACCCTAAAGGCACACCAATCCTACTAAAATCATGGATGTGCAAAATTAGCCAATACTAAAAATAATTAAACATTTAGAAGATTTCTTAGGTTGGCTAGATATAGCAAACAATTTGTGAAAGGATATAGAAGTATTGCAAGACCCTTAACTAACATTGTTGAAGAAAATACATCTCAGTCCCTCAAGGATAATTTGACTTAGTCATTAGTATTAGCATTACATGACTTCTCTAAGGTGTTTGTGGTTGAGGTGGATGAGTCAAGTTATGGAACTGGTGCAGTGTTGATGCAAAGCATCATTCAATTGCTTTTATTATTAAGGTCCTTAATATGTGATAAGAATCACTCTCCACATCTGAAAAGGAACTATTAATAGTCGCGTTTGTAGTCAAGAAGTGGAGGTATTATATGTTGAATGCTCACTTTATTATAAAAAAAAGAGAGCACAAAAGCCTACAATATATGTTGAGCCAAAGGTTGACTATAACCTTCCAACAAAAATGATTAATGAAATTGATGAAATTTGATTTCACAATTGAACTCAAACATGGAAAAAGAAAAGTACATGCTTTATCAAGGCAAGAAGTAGTAGATTGTCAAGCAATCACAAAGAAAAGTACATGCTTTATCAAGGCAAGAAGTAGTATATTGCCAAGCAATCACAACTCTCATACCTGGAAATTACATGTTGAACAAAATCATAAGCAGTTGGCATACTAATCCTAACATTAAAAAATTGATCAAATATTTGTAATTAAAGGCATCTTTACATAAACATCATACTTGGAATCACAATGAACTCAAAAGGACCGGAAATTGGTTGTTGGAAAAGATGTTACCCTAAGGATTGATCAATTACAATTGATTCATGCTAGTCCAACTATTGACCACTCTGGTAGGGAAGCTACACTGAAAAGGTTAAAATCAGTTGTATATTGAAAATGCATGACTAAGGATGTATGAATATTTTGCTAAATTGTGTGAAGTCTACCAAAAATATAAATATGACAAATTTATTTATCTAGGTTTACTACAACTATTATCAATTTCGAAGAGGATATAATATCATATCACCATGGATTTTTATTGAAGGATTGCCAAATTCCAAGGGAAAACAAGTCATTTATGTGGTAGTGGACAAACTAGTCAACACTACCCACTTTATGTCCCTAATACACCCCTACATTGCTACAGAAGTTGCCCAATCATTCTTGGACAGTTTACTTAACCATTCTTGGACAGTTTGCTCAAATTACATTTTTTCCAGACTCTATAGTCAATGACAAGGATCCCATCTTTGTCATCCAATATATGATGGGCTTTCAAGGGGTTCACTTGGAACTCTCCTCAATTTACCATCTATCAATTGATGGTCAATCCGAAATAATGAATAGATGCTTAAAGACATTCTTGAGATGTATCTATTGTGATATCCATTATGAGTTGTCTAAATGGTGGTATAATACAAACCATCATACATCTATTCCATTTAGTGTAGTCCTTATGACCTTATGAGGTTATGTTTGATCTGCTTTTTCCAATTTACCTTTCTTATTTTACTAGAGAATCAAAGATGAGGGTAAAAGAAAGGAGACACTGAACTTAGTAAAATTTCACATAAAAAGGATGTAAGAAAGAATGAAGTAGTTGGTAGATAAAAAAAATGAAATAATATATTCTATAAATTGGTGACTTTTTGTCCATCCATACAAGCAGATTTTAGTAACATTCAGACAAAACTAGCACCTAAATACTTTATGCCATTTCTCATCAAAGATAAAATTGGAATTTACCACCTAAATATTTAAGTATAATGCACCCTATAAATAACAAGCTTTAATCGAGGTTGTTCATTAGATTTTCAATGAAACAATTCTTCTATATTTTTTTTTCTCAATTCAATACAATTTTTTTTTTAATTCTATTCATCCATTGGAATTCCTAAATTTTGTAGTTGTTCGAATATTTCATACTTCTTGAATTCGTGCATGATCCACTGCACAACTCCTGCACGTTGCCAAATGGAAGCCAAAAATTCAATTTCTCAAGTTTTTTCAGTGCAGTGCAAATCTATGGTTGCACCAATTTTAAGACTTTAAAACAGCTCAATTAACAAAATAATAATAATAATAAAAATCATAGTCACATATTTAGTTAAAACTTTACATTCAAACTTTCTATTTTTTTATTTTTACTTTTTTAAGTATTTTAATAATAAATTTAGTTATTTAATTTAAACTAACCTAATCATTAATTATTCGACAAAAAAAATCATACCAGAAAAATTTTGATAAACTAAATTATTTAATAAAAAAATTAATTAGAATAAAAAATATCATGAACTCAATTTATATTTTTAATAAAAATAATTGTCGATGAGGATTAGACTTACAATTAAATTATGGTGTTTTGCTTAATTTTAAACACATCATCAAACATTCTTATTTGGCAGTTGATTCTATTAGACATTGAATAGGATTTGGAAGTTGAAATATTTTTCTTTAGCTTGTTGTGCTCATGCTTGTGGCGTGTTAATTCTTCTAAAGTTGAAATATTTTGCTTTTACATATTAGTGAGATAGTCAAAATGGTGGGTAAGAAATTACATATCTTTTGTACAAATTATTTATCAGTAAAAGAAATTATTTATTTTGTTCTATATCCACAGTGTGACATTTTTAAAATTCAAACTTAGAACATTTGATTACTTATGCTAAATTTGTATACATTAAGAGACCAAATTAAGATAAAAAGCTGGTTCAAGAAACCAAAATTATATTTTAATTTTAAATGTAATTAAGATATTTCCTAAATTATTCTTAAATCATGATTTTACGTAGAAACAAATATTAAAAATGACAACGAAAACGACCAAAGTTGCTTTGTTAGTTGGAAACATATTTGTGAAGTTAATTTCGAAAGCTGTGCAAGAGTTCATTCATATTGGGATTTTCCCGCTCATTTTGAAAGAAAACCCTTTTCTTCTTCCCTCACTCCCACAACATTCAGTTTGGAGCGACAACATGAGTGCTCCCATGGACACAGAGCTCACAATCGACGAAAATGGCGCTGCTTCCCAACACTCACTTCCCGAGGACAAAGTTCTTGTCCCTGGTACTTTCCTTCTCACTCTCTCAACCCTACACGTTCTCATATCTCATGTTACATTTTCTTTAATCAGTCTAACTTTGCTTCTAGTCGAGGTAACCCTAAAACCTTCCAGCACAGCTAAAATCGAAGATGTTCGTTCAGCCGTTGAAGGGTAACCCCTTTCCCTTCTTTGCGAAATTGTAAATTAAAATTTTCGTTTTTTTTTCCAAATTGTGATTATTGCTGTTCTCTATTTAGCAGGATGCTTGAAAAGAGGAGTTTGAGCTATATCAATGGACCCATTCCGGTGCCTCTTGATGAGGCGTTTCTCGCAGATAACGTGCAAAGAATTTGCGTTTGCGGATGTGATACCGGTGTGTGATTTGTTTGGTTAGGGTTTAGGAGTGGTTAGAAATGAACGGAACTTTATTGATTTGTTTTCTTTGATTTAAAAAAAAAAATCTTAAATTGAATAAAGACTTTTGGTCTCTTCGTGAGTTGGATTGAGTGTTTTAGCAGTTAGCACGACAGCATAGCAGAATGTGTTGAATAATTCCCTGAATGGAGAGAGAAGGACTACACTTCATTCTAAGGCTGCTTCTCTGATTCTGATTCTGTAAAATGTCTATCTTTTGTAGATGAAGGGATGCACACTGATAATGTTCTTTTGTTCTGGCAAGTGAAGCCTATTGTACATGTTTTTCAGGTGATACTGCTGACTAAATTTTACTGCCTATGTGTTGGTTTCAGTCTCATTTATTTAGTTTTCACATCCTTACGAGACAGATTTAGCTCCTCTAAAGTGAGGAGGGTGCATTTTGAGAAATTAAGCACAGTTATAACTATTCTTTTGGAAATGCAGTTCTGATGTGAATATTTCTTGGTCTGAATTTTGCTTTGTAAGCTTAGCGAGGAAGGTCCATGTGAGGATATAAGCTCTGATGGCCAGTCTTCCAGCTTCAATGAATGGATTCTGCCTGCAAAAGAATTTGATGGCATGTGGGAAAGGTTATTACTTTTTAGTAGTTTATGCTTTTCCTGATCTAATTCTATACTGTTTTTATTTTTATTTTTTTATGATCAACTATAAAATTCTAAATCATTTATCGTGCACTATCAACCATTGTGTTTGCAGCTTAATATATGAATCTGGTCTAAAGCAAAGGTTATTACGATATGCGGCTAGTGCTTTGCTCTTTACTGAAAAAGGGGTTGATCCATTCCTTGTTTCATGGAACCGGTAAGAACTGAAAATATTTAATTAGTTATGATCTTCAATTCTGATGCTGTTTTACAATTGGATGCATGATCTGATGTTCGTGTCCATTGTCTTGCCTGAAAGACAATATACGTAATGATGCTTCATGATATACTGAGCAAACTTTGATTTCTAGGCACCTGAAAAGCTACTTAGTATAACTGCTGATTGAGATTGACATTTGTTTTGGGACTTGCTTTAGATTTGTTGACGGGAAAAAGTTTGCAGCATACGCGACTATGATAAACAAAACTTTATTGTTAAAATCTTTTATCGAATTCTTTGCAAACCTTCCAAATTATCAAACGGACTGAAAAATTATAACAGAGGAAGGTGAACAAGATCAAGAAAATTGTGATGGCGGGACTATAATTTGTCTTGCTCTTTTTTTAGACTCTGGCTGCTGAAAGTGACAGTTTAGAACTAAATAATATCAAGTAGGCTATTTTCTATGTAGAAAAATTAAAGAAAAGCATGTTTCTTCGTTTTGATTTAATGTTAATACTACTAGAGTAAAATTAGTTGTTGAAGCAATATTGGGAATTTGAACTATGTTCATATCTTGATATTTTAGAGACTTTTATAAATTTGCAGCATAATTTTGTTACATGGACCTCCTGGGACTGGAAAGACATCTTTATGTAAAGCATTAGCTCAAAAATTAGCAATTCGATTCAACTCAAGGTGAACTGATCTATTATCAATACTTCTTTAATATTCTACCAATATTTCCCAATGAAAATAAGTAAATAAAGGGAACTTGCCTGTGTTTTCCCCACTCAGATACCCTCAGTCCCAGCTTGTTGAAGTGAATGCACATTCTTTGTTCAGTAAATGGTTCTCTGAAAGTGGCAAGCTGGTATGCAAATCTCACACTTTCTGTCTGTCATAGATTTGCTTATTGATTTCTCTCAATTCATATTTCATACTGTTATTACATATCGACTGCAATTTTCGACGGTGGGTTTGCCAGTCAAGATTTCTTCCTGCTAAGTAATATGCTCGAGAGATAAAACTTAATGTATTTATCAGTGTTTCCTTCAAGTTAATATCAAGTGAGATCAAAGGAGGTAATTGACTCAAGCTAGGAAAACCCACTATTTGGTAGCATAGAATTGCATCAAGGAAGAGGGGACAAGAGTCAAGACCATTTTTGAGTTTGGGTAGTTTTCAAGATCTTCTCCTTTATCACTGGACAAAATTATTCGTATGTCATTATACCTTCAAATGATGGATATGGATTTTCTACTTTACACATTGACTAGAGCAGTAAGAATCAGGGAAGAAAACTTCATTATAAATACCTTTCTCTTATTTTCCACCCGGACATAGTAGTATTGTTTGTGTGATAACGAGTAATAATTCTGTTTGGGAGCGTATCTAGTATAAATTAGTTCATTTTAGGATCACCTCAGGAGAAAGTAGAGTTCTAAGTTACAATGCAGTTAGAAAAAAAAACGAAAAGAAAAGTAAACTAGTACTGTATTTGCAGCAAAAACGAAAAGAACTGTGTCCATCATCTTTGATGTTTTGTTCTTTTGGAATTGAAGCAAATAATTGTAGTTATGGTGCAGGTATCCGGTACTAGTGTTGGGTAGGCAGGTAGAAATTTTTTACAGATTAGTACAAGTACTGACGGGTCTTTAACCGAACTGAGTGTGATCCACGTAGTCAACCTCACCTAGAGGGGATAATGCTTTCTTGTTTGTATAAAAGCTGGGAAACTGTGTTGCAATATTAAGCCACTTAGGCATTTTGTGTCCTTTTAGTTTGATACCAATGCTTTAGTAGGTTTATAAACTAAAGAAATTATTTCCCTTAACTATAATCCAAGAGTCCTGCATATTATTGATCATCACTTGACTAAAACAATATATGAATTAATGGAATTTTGAATCAAAGGGTTAAGTCAAATTGCGAAATTGCCAACTTTAACGATGCTGTATACTTTCCAAGTTATTTACTATACATTAACTATTTTTGTATTGTTATCGAGTGTGTAATTGTGTTTCTTTGTTTTCTACTAGGTAGCGAAACTTTTCCAAAAGATTCAAGAAATGGTAGAGGAAGAAAGCAATCTCGTATTTGTATTGATTGGTGAGGCATAAGATAAAAGGATAAAATCCAACTTATTGCGCATGTCTTATTCTCCTATGTCTGCTTGAGTATGTGCTTATGATTTTGCAGATGAAGTGGAAAGCCTTGCTGCTGCTAGAAAAGCTGCCCTATCTGGTTCTGAACCATCTGATTCTATTAGGGTAAAATCTTCCACCCCATCCTATATGCATGCAGGAATAAACTCACTCCCCCGCCGCTTTATTTTGTGTAACTTTTTAGATTGAAAAACATGTAAAAATGTAATTCAGAAGTATTGGCTTTAATTCTTGGGTGTTTGTGTGTAACGTAAGTTTAATTTGAATACGGGATTTCAGGTAGTCAATGCATTACTAACTCAGATGGACAAGTTAAAATCATCTCCCAATGTGATAATTCTAACCACTTCCAACATAACTGCAGCTATTGGTAAGCGTTAATTTCTCGTATATTCAATTTTATGGCTTCTTTCCTTGTAAGTTATGGCCGGCCCTCTCAGATAAACTTGAATATTCAGATCGATTAGCTTATAATATGTTAGTTTACTTACAAATGAAGTGTAGAGTAGCTTTACAATGTGTGGAGATAGTGAAAATCTTTGGTTTGTCATGATTCACGGTGGAAATTGGTAGCCAGTACCATGTATAATAATTTTTCCTCGCCAACACCTGTTTGGGGCATCAAAGTCAAGTTGCTATGCTATAAAATAAAGCGCGGACTTTACTTACCAACATAATAAAAAATAATACTATGTCCAGATCAGTAATTAGCATCACCGCAATGTAAAACACATCACAACAGCAGCCTTTTCCCACTTAAACCATCCTTCTCAAATTTCTTGTTAAGTTTTTTATTCAGTATTCACTTCCTTCTTAAATTTTAAACGCATCATTTCCAATGTTGTAGATCATACAGATTTATCAATTTTATTGCAGATATTGCTTTTGTTGATCGAGCTGATATCAAAGCATATGTTGGTCCCCCAACGCTTCAAGCTCGGTATGAAATATTAAGGTCCTGCTTGCAGGAACTGATGCGTACAGGGATCTTGACTAGTTTACAGGTGCGGAGAGTTCTCAATCTTGTCCCGCTAACAAGTCATTAATATTCTAATCATTACTGTCCAGACAAAAAAATAACCTTTATTCAGATTCAGACATTTTGGCATCTTAATCTTATGGCTAATCATACTGACATTCAGGGTTGCAAGAATGTCATGCTTCCTAATTACGCTTGTGCAAAGGAGAGGTTGAACGCTCTTGATTTTCACGAAGGTGCTACATTCATGCAACTGTGCAAGCACTTACTGGAAACCGCAGAGGCATGTGAGGTAGGGAAAATTATTTATTGCGTGGGTGTGAAACATTAATCTTTTGGTTGAAAACTTTACTCTTAACTGGTGTTTTATCTGTTAGCAGGGAATGAGTGGAAGGGCTTTGAGAAAGCTTCCATTTTTGGCACATGCTGCACTTTCAAATCCTTTTGATTGCAACCCTATTAAGTTCTTATGTACAATGGTAGAAACTGCAAAGAGGGAGCGTTCTGAGCTTCCTGACTAAAATAACTAAAATTTCAATTAAAAATGTGTAAATCAAATGTGTAACAATTGCCTCTACTGCATTTTAGTGCGATAATATTTGATGCAGCAGCGATATTTATTATTATAAGCAATTATCATGGCTTAGAATGTAGTACTAGTACTACTAAATAGCTGATCCTTGAGAGAATAAATTTAAAATAAGATTTGGTGAGGGAATGGAGGAGACTTGGTGTCCAATTAAATTTGCTTTTATTTTTTAGGTCAAATGGGTTATAAAGTAAGATGAGTGTGTAAAATTATATTTAATTAGTGTTCTTAGATTAAATTGCATTATCCTCTCCTCTCATCTTGAGTTATATGCTTCCTTCTCGTAAAATAATCATGACTTTATTATTTTTTTTTAATCTATGTAAATCTCTTCATAGTTGTGAATATTTATAAATTAATGTGTCTTTCAACAATATTTTATCTTTTTGTATAATTTTCAATATTATTAGTGTAATCTCAACAATTATAAAAACATTCCAAATAAAAATATGAACAGCAACTATTGATTTAATATTTTGAAAGGTAGAATAGCTGAATGAAATTAAAAGTAGTTATTAATTATCATCTTAAGTTAAACGAGAAAAGAAAACAAAGAAACTCATATTTACATTCAATTAACTCAAGTTTAATTTATATTTATCTTTCCATGGAGGTGAACGTATTTTAGAAATAAAAGATAAAGAAACTGTAATTTGAGTGGCATTATAACAGAAAAATCAAATGTAATTTTATTCTTATGGCCTATACAACTATTATTATATTAAATATAAAGGTTTGAAAATTTTGAACTATAACTAATTTTAAATCCAATAAACTCTTTAAAAATAGGTTATCTAATTTATCTAAAAGATCTTGCTACAAAAATAAGTTTTTAACTAAGTTCTTGTGTTTTTTTCCCTGAGTTTTTACGAAAGACCTTACATTAAATTAAGAGTTTAAAAGTTCATACGTTAAAGAGTAAATATAGTTTTGGCTCCTTAACATTTTTGAAATTGGGATTATCTCTCTAAATTGTTTTGTTCGTTTTTCGCAACTCTAATTTTTAATTTGACTATTTAAAGTTGAAAAGTGCCATATTATAAACCATAATGCACTGTATAATCCACTCTAAAGATCCAAAGATTTCAAAATTAGAAGAACGAAAAATATACTTGCTTTAAATTTGAATAAATAGATCATGTAAAAGTTTTTTAAAACACCTTATAGTACAATCAATTTTCATTTATAATTATTTGGATAGAAAACAAAACGAAAACGGCTTCAAATTAGAACGTGGCGGATCTTATGTAAATTCAAAGTTTGTGCGTATAAAAAGGTTTACTCTATAAAAATCAATGAAAAATTATGATTTTTAAAATAATTATTATAAGAATCACTAAATTTCTGCACATGCCAAATATTATAATCGGATGAGTTTTTTATAACAGCTCAGTGGTAATGGTAGATGTTTTAGATAAATTACAAAGTATGGATAAGTCTTATTTTTAAAATAAAAATACAACTTTTTAAAAAAGAAGTTGTGTTTTAAAATATTTTTTTTAGAATATTAAAAACAAATTGTATTTTGAAAACATCTTTAATTTATTTAAGACGTACCCATTTAACTATTTTATTAAAAGAAATTACTTCGAAGTAAAAAAAAATCTAATTTGATGATAGTGTACAAATATTCTAAAGTAGAAACTATCCTCTCTCTTTTACAAGTACATTAAAAATATCCAATATATGATTGAGTGGTGAAAGTTGTCTGGTGTACTTGTGTTCCTGATGCTTGCTTATGAACCAAAGTCGAATGTATAAGATTCGTGTCGAAACAAACAGTCAAACCCAACACACTCAACCTTAGACTGAGTTGGCTTCTCGTATGCAGCCCAACGAAATTTGTCGGCTTCTTTACATGGTAAAAAAAAAAAAAAAAAAAACTCAATTTTAAGCAACAGGGTCGAAATAAAAATAAATTATAAAAATGAGTGAAATCCATGTTTGAAAATACCATTTCAACAGACATCAAAATTAAAATCATGCAACATAATATAATTTTATTTGTAATTATTATTATTTTTTTAAATCGTGTTAGGTAGTAAAATCATGCTACACCAGTTTAGAGTGTTTTTTTTTAAATAAGATTATTTTATATTTTAAAAATATATTATTTATAAAATAATTCATTTTAAATTAATTATTAATTTAAAAATAAAAATTTTCTCCAAAATTTTCAAATATTAACTTCTTTAAAGAAAATTCACGTTTCTTTATTTTATATATATTTAAGAGTTTATATATCCCTATGTTATTAACTGTTTGAACTAAGAATTGGACCTCTGCCTAGCTTGTGTGGTCCAAAATTATGCTAATTTGATTGAGAATATTTTAAGAGAGAGTGCACTCCCCTTTACTTTAGCCAATCCTTGCTCTTTTCACTGCCAAATTCCACATTGTTTTAAAAGATATTTTTTCAAATCAAGTAGAGTGAGCATAACTTACAAAAAAAAAATAGCACAATTTCTTAAAAAAATAAAAATATTAACCAAAGACTAAAATTGTGCTACATAATTTTTTTTTAATTTACCCTATCTCTTTTGACCCAATTATGTAAAAAAGCCGAATTTGTCTTTCACGCTAAGTTTTGATATCATACCCTCTCTGATATATAGAGAACTGTCCATGAGATCGTACACTTTGGTTACTATACGGAATATTTTTTTTTTATTATAATTGAAAAAAATAAATTAATAATGTCTTTGCAAATAACAAAGTAAAACACTTAGAAAGAAATAGAAGAGTAGCTTCCAGTACCAAGCATCTGGTAAAGAACCAGATCAGTCCACGCCCCAAGGATAGTAGCAGCACACGCTTTCTTTTGAATCTTGAATCATAAATATGTCATCATCATACATAAACTTAGCATACAAATACTACTAATCGGATCACACAGACTGCAAAGTAATCATTATGGCACATGAAGATCCATGTTATTGATGCACCATATTAATTATATTCTTCCACACTATTTTATTTGGCCACCTTAAGTTGTAAAGAGTTCAAAACAAAGCATGCATGGTTGGCAGAAGATCATTCTTCAACGTTCAAACTACAATTGTTTAACTGCAAGGTTATGCTTAAAAAATGACCTTCTTATTAATTATTGACTTCATCCATGTGCAGGTATTTCCTTTTTGGCGATCGTTGGTGTTTCTTTTTACAATTCCACAAGAGGGTTATCGCTGACATGTGCAGAGACATCATTCTCCCCCACAAAGTATTCACCAATTCCATATACACAGCAGGTAGGTGAAGATCACTATGTGCAAAAATCTCTTTAAAAAGTTTTCAGACAAGCCCCACATGCTGCAGGAAGCACTTGTAAGCAAAGCAGCTTCAAAAAATTATAATACTTTTTTGGACTCTTCCGACCAAAAGAAAAAGGAAAGAAAAGCCAAAACTTGCACCACCATAGACAAAGACTCGTTCGGGGAGGGGTGCAGGCTTTGACACAACTTGTTAACTTTGCCAACAAAAAGAATGCTTCAATCTTCAACACCCTTCACTGTCTAACACCTCTTTCTTGCTTTCCTTTTTCTCCCTTGTGGAAACGTGCCCCCACTGTACATTAAAGAGAAAACGTTTGCATGCGGGAATATAACATAGCCTCTCTCTCTCTACACTATGCGTGCATCACAATGTTTCAGTACACTGCCTCACACAGCCGCTTTTCTGCATCTACATATACACAAACATGATCTCTAGTGTCTTCTTATATATTCATGCGTTCGCACAAAACAAACATGTCTCTCTATTCTATTTGTCTCTACCACATGGCCCTTTCCCTTGTCCTTTCTCTCTTCCTCCTTTTCTTAACCATTCTGTTTGGTTAAAGTTCAACAATGTCTTCTATACACTCTCTCAACATCTTTACCTTCGCCTTCACCTTCACCTCTGTGACGATTCATGCATTCATCTTTCTCTTATGCGAGATGTAAAGTGGCGCTGCATGCCTTCCTCATCATGGGAAGAGTCTGCAGCAGAGGTTTCCTTAATCTAGGTCTCTTTAGCTAACACCAACCATGAAATAGAAGGCCTAAACTCCATCCATGGGGAATTATGCACTCCTGGTCCGAATGGTTTTTACTTCTTAGTATATTGGTTTCCTCTTTTTGCACTTCCTTTTTCTCTTTTCATGGTGTTTTGAAACTATATGCAGCTAGTGCTAGGTGCCATGCATGTTGTGAAGTTCATTCAGATTTTTTTTTTGTTTTCGCTGTACCTCTACTGTTAGGCTATAGCTTAACCCGCAGATGAGTGAATAGATTACTACTTCTGAATAATGAGTGTGTTGAGTTGAAGTGTTACCATACCTTGAGTAAGGTATCAGAATGTAAAAGAATCGGTTTCTACTGATTTTTGTTGAATAACATTCTCTATATTTGCTGTATTTCTTTTTTTTCTTGCTGTTGATCTTATACTGTGTTTAATTATTCCACAATGTGTGAATATTTTGACGAGTTTACAGTAAATTATTCTAACTAAAGCCATTATGCAACAATACAGGAATCAAATACTTGATAACGTTTGCTCATACACAACCTAACAAAATGACGTGGTTATGATTATCCTTTCCTTTGTAGCTTATGGATAGTTGTACGCAGTGTAAGAAATTAAAATGAAAAGAAAGAACAGAAAAAGGAATCCAACGAAACAATTAAATTATCAGGCTAAGATTGAGGAAAGAAAGCAAGGAAAAACAATAGGTTACAGCAGCAGAGTGAAAGCAGTTTGACATAAAAGTTAGGGACTGTGCCAGATTCCTGGCTGATTAATTTTCCTTCTTTTCTAACCTTCTATAGCTAGGTATTGATTCCAATACTAGAGATGCATCATGATCTGTGTTGACTCTGGCATTGTAATAAACTTACTACACACTTAATTTCAACCTGGTGGCAATCACATATATATAATGAGTTCAAAGGAACATTCACTTTCCTTTTGCTTTTCTTTAATCATGAAACGTATTGGTTGACTATATGGTTATGTGTGTGGAATGTGCCTACTGAATCCTGGGCATGGTATCCTATACTCAAAACATGATAAAGCTAATTTTTAACATTGTTGTAATCATTTGTGTCTTTGGTTTTTGTTTCTTTATGCTTTTCCATCACCTTAATCATAACCAGAAACTGCATAAAGTCTCAATTTCGGCACGTCGTTCAAAATAAATGGCAAATCTGTCTCTATATTTGGCGCACCATTTTCGTGCTTTATTTATTTAATTATATATACTACTGTATTATGCAAGTTAATTGTTACAAGAAAAATAATATATTTAAATGAATTTGTATGTAAAAGAAAAATGATTGCTTTTATGTCAAATAATAGTTGTTGTTCTATAACTGATGAATAATAGTTGTTGTGTTTTGAGTATTGAAAGTTTGTGCTATATATTAAATTACTCATTTATATTACAACAAAATTATCAAAATTATAATTTAACTCTTTCATCTATAATTATTTATATCATTTGTTTTTTCATCTAGCTAACATAGTTTTTGAAAATAGAAGGAAGTGCTTTAGGATACTTTGGAAAAAATAATTAGCATAGGAGAGTGTATTAGAAATAAAGGTGGTGCAGATAGCATATAAAATAGGTTCGGAATTTATTCCTTCGGAAACTTTTTTAAAAACTTTCGTAAAGATCAATCCAAAAAAATTTTGGATGAGTGAATCCCAAACTTAAATCATACATGAAAAATTATTTTCGAATTTAGTTTTTAAGAAATTTTTCGATTAATTTTTCCAGAATGATAAACTTATATTTCGAATTTCATAATCTAAAACTTAAAAAAAATTATATATTTTCAGATTTATTCATCCAAATATTTTTTAGATTTTTCAACTCAAAATACTTCAAAATATGTTTTTGAATACAAAAGATGTTAAAATAGAAAGTATAGGTTGAATTATTTTCTTATCCATTTTTATTTAATTTATCTGTCTATCCAATTAAAAGTAAAATAAAAAATAAATACATATTAATATTTTAAATTGTATAATATAACTTGCAATCTATACATAGTGATTAATTACAAATTAAAGATATCAAATTCTAAATTAGAAATGTTCACTTTAATGATTTTTTTAAATTATGAAACTTGATTAATCTTTGAAGGATCATTATAGCTTTTTTAAAATTGAAGAACTTAATTTTATTAAGAGAGATCGAAGAACAAAATAAATAGTAACACAAAAGTAATTAAACGAAAATTATAAAAGATAAAGAGACAGAAGATTTGTTTGATCTAGTGTTATTTTTTAGTTTTTTAAAATAATTTTAGATATTAGTTTTAAAAAACTGTTTTTAAAAAAGGGAAGACAATAATATAAAAAATCCTGATGAAAATTGAAATTTTTTTTCATAATTTTATAATAATGAAAATGAATAATTATTAATACAAACATTCATTTCTATTAATGAAAACATAAAATTGAAAATTGAAACAGCTTTTTCAATTTTTAAAAATTAAAAAACAAAAACAATTTTTAGAAACTGTTTTAATAAAATAGTTAAGAAACATTTTTTGTTTTGTTTTAAGAACTAAAAAAAATAAAGAAAACTGTTTTTGAAAATAATAAGAAATTTTTTTTTCATAATGAGACTAAAATTAGATACATTTTTTGACAAAATAAAATCAAAGTATTAAAATTTAACCTTTAATCCTTAGATAAATCAATACAACTCTTTATTCAAATAATCAATAGTAATTTATCTTAAAATTTAAAAAAACCTTCGTTTTAAATTTTCTACTTAATAAATTATTTTTAAAATATTTACATCTTGAATATATTTTTAAGTATTAAATATTTTATACGTAAATACTAAATTGGATTGGATTAATAAATAATAAATAATCTGATTAAATATATGATAATGTAATTTTATATCTGACCATTTTTTTTTGCTGAGGCTTGTACTAAATTGGATTGGATTCTTATTATTAGTTTTTTAAATTTTTTTAAAATTTCACTTTTGTATGTTAAAGAAAAAATAAAATTTTCATATGCTCTATAACAACAAAACAAAACTCTATTATCTAAATAAAAGGTACGATGATTAAAACTCGTTGTTTTGTGACCGCAGGATTGGAGTTATGGGCGAACTAAATGTAAGCCCAAATTCCTTTTGGGCTAGCCCATATATCCCATGTGGTTGTCACGTGCCTCTACTGAAGCATGCGGTGTTGCTGCACTTATCAGAAACGGTAAGGTTTGAAAATTTTTATTGTGTTCAAAGTTTATTTTCGCATTGACCATTGACTATGCCAACAGAACATCATTCGCATGTAACCGTTTCGTTTGAAGTCTATGCAATTCAAAGGACAACCAAGATGTCCTCTGCCTTCAATGGTGATCCCAATTTTTGTCTTAAATCTAATCAGTAATGTAATCATTTCCAGTTGGAAAGTTTGAAAAACTACCCTGGGGGTTCTACTAATTAAGCCTTCCATATATGATGCTTTGACCACACAGATTCCTTCACTCAGGGTGTTACAATTTTGTATATATAAGCAGGGCACGTCCACATCACTTTCTAAGCCCTCAAAGCCATAGAAAAAGAGGTTTCTTTGGTGGAGTAGAAAAGGGAGAGGAATATGGCAAAGGAACAGCCTCAAGGTCTTGCCTTAAGGAGGAAGTTGGAGAGGCTGCAGTTGGAGTTGAGCAGCATTAACCGTGGAAGTCAATCTTATGTACCGGGGCAGGGAATTCATGGAAATTGGGGGTTTCCTAGATATGGTGTTGGAGAGGAAGTTCATGATCAAACAGAAGCTGATCATCCTGTGTTTGATAAAGGTGATTTTTTTTTTTTTTAGATTGTTTTATGTGGAAGTTTTGTCTTCAAATGTTCTTAGATTTGGCTGTGCTATGGATGTTTCTTCAAATGTTTAGATTGTGCAGAAGTGCAGAAAAGGGGGGTGTGAGAGATGGTGAATAATTTAACCTTGTCCTTATTATTAGAATATTTTAGAATGAGTGTCATTATCACGTAACACTCCAAAAGCCAACATTTTTATTTATAAATGAAGAGTTACCGTAAATTAGAGAAACATGAGTGATTTCAAACGTATAAATCAGGGAAGAAAGCTTATTTCTTAACTTCCTATTCTTAATTCACTGAAAAGGATTCCTTTTAAACCATACAGGAGATTATTCAGTGTTCAATTTCACAGTTGAGGAACCGGTGATTGACATTAAACATCCTGCCAGGGAAAGCAAACCTGAACCAGTGGCTAATCCGTGTATCCATCGTCGTGAAGGTTTCTACAGCAATGCCTTGGACATTTCCAAGGCAAAAGGGTATGATCCTTCTTTCCTTCTCTATTTTGTTTTGCCGATATGTTTGTATGAAGTGAAAAACAGCAAACACGAGAAACTAATAGATATAACTTATAAGTGCAGAGTGTTAAGAGAATGTAGTTAAAAAATACATTGTATTTTTCTTTATAGTTGCTAATATCCTGTTCTGGGAAGTAATTGTGTAAGTAATTTCATATTTTCACTAGTATCTGATAAACTCGTAAGTGCAGTAGTATATCTGAATTTAGTATCATTATAACTCATTCATTGTTCAATACATAAAAATACTACTAATAATGCTTCTCATCATATGGGGAATTATAGTTGATGATGATACCTTCTATAGTTTCCCAACTGTCGTATTTTATAGTACATTTTTAAATTATCTGTGCACTGTATAAGATATGACACTTGTATTTTTTCAATTATTGGTTAACAATAATCTTCATTCTATTTATGATGTGACATTACAAATATCATATGAAATATTCTGCCTTTGGGATTTTTACTTTATTCTTTCCATTTGAAGGGTACTTTGAAAGAATAGGAAGGTGTGTGAACTAAGACACTGTGCAAGGATATTTTTAGAGCTAAGTTAGGCATCCTCCTGCTAGTCCTGTCAAATACTGATGACATTTGATACCTTATGTTTGTCTGAAACAAGTTTAGCTAGTCCCAATTAGTAATTGTACCAGAAGGAGGTTGATTGCACTTTCCTGAAAAGATAATGATCATCTGTATCTCAAGTTTAGTTATAGATAGTTTTCTAGTTCAGATGAAAGTGAGTTGATATTTTTTAGTGTACTGCACAGGTATTAGAAACGGGAATTGATCAAGTTTTTAAGAGATTTGCATTATGTATGCCATAATGCCAATCTACTTGCTGACTCCTCTTAAATAACTTCCATTTGTTGAAGTACAATTCAGATTGTTTCTCTGAAGCTCTTACTCCAACTCTAGCCTTGCTTGAGCCTGCTATGATGGTAATTATATTGAGTTGGGAAAATTTATGGCACTATGCAGCCTGTTTAATGCAGAACTTTGTCACTTCTTCCAATCTTTTACACATCATAAAATCCTGCATTTGATGCTGAATAAACATAGTAGCAAAGGCTCTACATTGTCTCCACAATAGGCATAGAAATGAGGTATATGCAATGCTACATTCTGAATTAAACCCAATGCTTAAACATTTCTGGTAGTTTTGTTTGCAGCTCTGGAACAGATGCACCCCTGGATACGGGTTATGAGAAGGACATTGAAAAGAAAAGGGTGAGGCATATTTTGTTCAAGAGGTGTTATTATCAACTTTAATCCAGGAATTTTGCATATTACAATTCATGGACACACTCATGCATTGCTACTAGCTTCATACGTCTTTTGATAGCCTTGCTGCTCATAAAAAAGGATCTGCATTGTATTTTGGGGCATGATTTAGTAAAAGCTAATGTAAGCATTGGATGGTTTGCTACCTTACCTCCTTCTGCAGACACGCATTATTGAACATTTGAACTTATGTTATATTTTGCATCTATATAGGATTGAAGCGGGTGCAAGAAGAAGATACTGAGATCAAGTTTGATGGATTCAGTCTTTGCTTGGATTCTATGTTTTTGGTTGTTAGTTGAAGGTTTTGTGGTAATTTTGATGTCATTTGAACGGATACTTAATGCTTGGTTTTTTATTAATATTTAAAATATCGGATATTTTGGTTGTTTTGCAAAATATATGTTGTATGAAATTTGGTAAATTGAGAGAACATTTCTCTGAAATTAACATAATTAGAATTATCAACCGAAATCAACAAAGATATAGAAACTAAGGAATGATTTTGAAAGATAAAAGATGGGAAATTTTGTATTATAATATGTGATCTATATCCAGTATGAGTTTGAATTTTCATTGATAAAAAGAATATTATTAGAAACACAAGCAAAATGCATCAATATGCTTACTTCGTAAACTCTAAAAAGTTACTCAAACAAATCATAAATAATTTAGAATATAATAAACACATAAATTCTCATAAAAGACTTTCACAATTTTCTTTTAGTGTAAAATAATTATTATGACTTGGGTTTATCAATTATTTTGATTCTCATTTCACTTGAGTGAAATAAAACAAAATCATTTATTATTTGTTGAAGTAAGAATGTTTTCAATGTTCCAAATAATCAGTTATGTGAGAATCAATCATTGATGCATTTTTTTTTACAGATTTTAGTACATTAATTATCAGTGATCAATCATATTGTTCTAGCAATCAATGATTTAATTTTTGTTCCAAAACTTATGATTTTCTAAATCCAAAGATAATTTAAAAAAAAACAAAAACAAAAACAGGCTTCTAAGTATTACAAGAATGTTTTACACAATTTACATTATCAACACTAAATTGATTTCTTCGATCTTTAAGCTTTGATCAGCAGAACAATGAGAAGAATGTAAGATTAAATTTTATTGTTATACTTGAATAAGTTTTTCAATATTAATATATTTAAATTCTATTATATATACCATTGATATTATATGATTTAAGCAAAATTTATTCCAAAAATAAATTTAATATTACGATGTTAAATTATACGACAATTATTTCATAATAACTATAAAGTATGGATACAAATTTAATTACAAAGTATTATACTTTTATGACATAGTGTTTTAGTTGAAAAAAAAAAAGATAGAGCATCAATATTGTTTATAAACTATAAAATATACCACAATTTGTCATATAATCCAACTAAAATATATACAAGGGTAAAAAGTTGGCTTCAAAATTTACATTTATGACATAATTTGTTTTTTAAAGTTTAAAAAACAATATCATGTTGATTGATAAAATAAAACTTAAAAATAATTTAATATATAGGATTAATCAAAATGTATCAATCTGAAAAGAAAAAAATTATTTTTCATTAAGTTCACTCCAACTAGCATCCTGTCCAACAATTGTAACTCCCAAACCTCTCAGTAATAATTCTATTTAATGTAAATGTCGATTTCATGGACCAAAAATAATTTTTGAAAAAAAATATCATTTTTTTTGGTCCACAAAACTGCAATTAAATTAATGCTCCAAATAAAATCCAATGTAGCTTCTTTTATGATTATCTAAAATTTAACGAGAAAGAGTAAATATAGTTTGTGAATTAGCATGCTTTTTCTATATTTTATATTATCTTTTTTTGCGTGTTCATATTGTTTGCAACATTTCAAAATACCACATTTTACAAGGTTAATCTAGTGATATATGATACACTTTTTTATTTATTTGGCTTATTCCTATATATTAGTAATTCATGTAGTGAAACATGATCTCATGATCACCAAATAGTGAAAAATAAAATGAATAATTATTTATTTGTATATTTATCATATAATAAATATATTTAAAAAATTTAAATATTTGAATAAATGATACTTCTTTCTCCTGGAATATGCAGATGTTACAGTCCTTTCCCTTATTTATCTTAATACTAAAATGATGTGTATTACCATAGAATTCGGCCTTCGGGGTCAACCCGGCGGCTTCTACTAAGAAGGCGGCGCTTCGTTCCCTTTGTAATGTGTAAATACTAATAAAAAAAAGTTACACATTTTTCTACTAAGATATGTAAATAATTCACTGTTTTTTTCCCTTTTATATCAAATCATTTAGTTTACTCCATTTAGTTCAACACCCTAAAAAATATATTTCTTTGACTCTTGCTTATTTTTTTAATTAGAGGCACAAACTTGACTTCTCAAAAATTAAAAAAATAATGATATTTATAATTTTAAAAATTTAAGTTTACTTTAAAAACATGATACATTCAATTTTAAAAAAATGCATCGAGAGTGAACAAAAAATATATTTAATATATTACATCTAGATAAAAAAAGTTTAATTATATTTTTAGTCCCTAAAATTTGGTGAGTGATCCAATTTTGGTTCGTAAAGTAAAAATAGGTAATAATTTTATTTTCTCGAATTAAAAAAATATATGTTATTTTGATATATAATCATTAAATTTAAGGGAGTGAAATGAGTTTTTCATTTTTTTTATTTTCTAAATAGTACATTTGAGCTACTAAAGTGGAGTTTTTTTCTTCTTAATTTGAGAGACCATAATTATATTCACATCAAATTTCAGACACCAAAAAATGTAATTAAGTCTTAAAGAATTTCAAACATAAATTATTTTGTTTGAAACTTAATCCTAATTAAAACCAAGTTCACGAAATTAAGATGTTTTGAAAATAAAGTTTACATTTTTAACAAATACAAAACTATTTGTTCTAAATAAACAAATGGGGTTGAGTGGTTGATGTGAGCATGAGGAAATTGATGATTGTGTTGGGGTCTATATTTTCACAATTCATCACATAAAAACTTATTCAAAACGTGGTTTAATTTGGTAACATATTTTGTCAGAGAATAAGGGATTAAAGTGGCACGTGTGAGTGATGAATGGTCAATCCTTTTGAATCATAAAGGCAAATAAATAAGTAAACGAAATTGAAATTGACAGTAAAGCATGTCCTGTTCTGTTCTGAGTTTTTTCCCATTGAATTTAGAAAAAAAAAAGCAAATATCCCCTTTGCTGTGATTGACTTGGGTTGGCTAAGTGAACATTGTTTAGTGCCAGTCAAATGGTCAAGTTTGAAAATTTTATTGTTTTGAATGTTTATTTTGGCATTGACCATTGACCATAATACAACAGAACATTATTTGCATGTAACTGTTTGGTTGGAATCTATGCAATTCACGGTTGATGCAAGGCACAGCCAAGATTTTGTCTGGCTTTATTTTTTATTAAAAAAAAATCTTAATTTGACCAGTAAAATGTAATGATTCCCAGGTTCTTTATATGGCATGTTTGAAAAACTACCACAGATTAAACTAAACTTTCCATCTATGCTGCTCTTATCCTCTTTCCCTCAGTGTGAGTCCATTTTGCATATAAATACAACTTCCCTGAGCCTTCAAAGCCATATCAAAGACAGTTCCTTCGGTGGAGATATATGACAATGGAGAGTCATTTACGAAAAGAACAGCGAAAATCTCTTGCTTCAAGGAGGAACCTGGAGTGGCTGCATTTGGAATTGAGTAAAATTAATGCAGGTGTTCAGTTTGCACCGGGGGAGGGAATTAACGGAACTTGGGGTGTTCCTAGGTATGGAATTGGAGAAGAAGTTCATGACCTAACAGAAGCTTATGCTACTGAGTATAAGCAAGGTGACCCTGAAAACTTTTTAATCTTGAATTTTATTTTTTTTGGTGTAATCTTCTCTCTCTTTTTTTATAGAATTTGCAAACTCTACAGGAAATAATTCAGTTTTCAATTACCCCAATGAGGAACCGGTGATTGACATGCAGTTTCCTGCCACTGGAGGCAAACCTGAACCACTTTTGAAACCGTTTATCTGCAATGTGTCTGCACCAAAATCCAGTGATAACCATCCTGGTGAAGGTTTCTGTAGCAGTGCCTCAGAAATTTCCAATGGAAAAGGGTATGATCCTTCTTACCATCCGTATTTTGTTCATAGTTCAGGTAGTTAAAATTAACTGTTTTTCCTTTATAGTCGTTGCTAATCTCTTGCTCTAGGAAATGTTGTAACCATAGAAATATAAGTAAATGATCTTCTGAATAACAACGCACCATAAAGATATGGTGTAGATCCTGCATTTGATGCTGCATAAACTTAGCAAGGGTTTTCAAATTAGGCATATATGCAATGCTATATTCTGTAATTAAACCCAATTCTGAAACGCTGTTGTTGTTTTGTTTGCAGATTTGGGACAGATGCGCCACAGAATCCTGGTGACGAGGAGAATTCTGAAGAGGCAAGCCTGATGGCATCTTTTGTGCAAGAGTTTGTATTATAACCTTTATAATGAAGTAAATTTGCATCTTAGAATTTAAGGCACGAGAGTTTAGAATAGCTAATCTAAGCATTGGATAGTCATAATAAAATTGGATGGCTTCTTCAATTTGCAGGCATTTGAACTAATTGTTTGGTATATTTTACATATATATACAGGATTGAAGAGCTTATAGAGTTGCAGCAGGATGAAGAAGAAAATCCATCTGATGAACTTTGATCATTTCAGTCGTTGGTTGGCTGAGATATGATAGAGAAGAAGATTGAAGAAGATGATGATGATATTGAGTTGGCTAGGGTTTCTATGTTTTTGTTATTATTTATTTCAGGTTTCCTGTTTTGGATAAGTGTTATTTTATTGTCATTTGAACAAAAAGGGGCTGTGATACTTCATGCTTTGGATTTATGAATGGTTAAAATATTGGGTATTATTGTTGATGAGACCTCACATGCATTCATGCTTAAATAAGTTTCAATTAAGTTTTTTGTGTTTATCATGATTGATATTTTGAGCCAACTTAAAATAAACATGAAAAGAATTAGAAAAATTGATCTTGAAACTAAACTCAATCAAACGCATATGAGTATTTAATCAACCTAGAAGATTTTAATATTAGTTTATATTGATTAATGTTTTAATTGTAATTAATTTTAAAAGATGAATACTCATTAATTCCATAAAATATTTTATAGAAATTATAGCTAAATTTTTTTATTTTATAATTTTAAGAATTGAAAACAATAATTCCTGATTTTATAGGATAAGAAAAGAAATTCATATAATAAACAAATTATTAAGTTAATGTTATATTATATTATAAATTTAAATAATTTTTTTTAATTTAAAGGTCAGTTTATATTTAGAAAAAAAGTTATTTATTTTGGAAAATATCATTATCGTTTTCAAATTTCTTTTTCCTCTCCCTAATACAAATACATTAATTTTAAGATCAAGAACATTACTTCTTATTTATGATATTATCATTAAAATTTTAATTAGTATAATTAAGAATAATTATAGCTTTTTATATTCAAAATACTAAGTGTTAATAATTCCAAATATATATGTTAATATCTTAATCTATAGTTATTTACCAGACATCTAATAAAATTTAGTTAAACAAAGTAACCACTTAAAAGATAAAATCAATACAAGGTAAACAATATTTGTTTCTAAATTTTTTTAATAATTAATTAAAGTAGAGTGGGTGAATTATCATCAACTCTCTGAAGCAAAAATTTAATCGATTAAAAATTGTCAAATAATTGATTTCATGGTTATCCAATACGATGGTATAAATTATTCTAATAATGATTATATAAAGTAGCCCATTATGGTAAGTTCATAAAATACAATGCAATCTATTATGATTTTAATGTAATCCATTACTACTGAGATTTGATTTAAAGTTTAAAATGTTTTATGTGATTAATTATAAATTTTATTGTAATTGGTTAAAATAGATTTTTTTTTCTGACTTCAGAATTTTTTTCATTATATATTGATGTGATTATTTATTTGTTAAATATTATAATAATTAACTAAGTTAATTCTTTATGAAATAAAATTCTCTTTGTAGTTGATTTTTTTTTCTATTGAAACTTTTGATTGTTTTTACTTTTATACTTAATAAAAGATATAATATTAATACTAGATTTGACATAAGAAAATAAACTATAAAATTGATAGTCGTAAACTTAAAGTTTCCTTTGTTTAAATTTTTTATATATCCAACTATTTTCTCCCTTTCTAAGCTTTGATCATTTCAAATTTTTATATATAACCCAACTTTCCTTTGTTTGGTCGTAGAGATTTTTGAGAGATATTTTTAACCCTAAAATTCAACACCAATATTGTTGCATGTTTAATTTACGAAAGCAATCACAATGTTATATATACAATCAAATCTAAAAATATCACTACTGTAATTCGATAATTTTTATAAGATTATTTTTTGAAAAAAAAATGGCAAATTTTATAGTTAAATTTATTTTTTCGATAATATTTTTATAACAATTATTGTCTTGTTATCATAGATTATTTTTAAGATGAGAGTTCTAAAAATAATATTTGTCATAAATATAATGATAATATTTTTAAATTGTTTTTATCTCGCCTCATTGTTTGTTATTATGTCCCTCTCATTTCACTCTTTGTCATCTTCATCGTCATCAACATGTCACTGCATCAACATGTCATACGTTCTTTTTATGATAACGCAGAGAAAAAGATAACTTATCTGAGTTCCAGTGATTCATTCATTACTATCATTGATTAGAAAATTACAATTAATAAAATACCAAACATAAAATGAAATTTATAGAGACAAATATAGAATTTATATCCTCTCTTATCTGTAAATATAAAATACATTATGCATTTTTCTCCTATTATATACAACTATTACACATTTTTTTTTGTTTTTCTCTCTCTTTTATTAATTAGAACATAATTTTCTCCATTTAGTTTGTCACCGTAAAATTAGTTTTTAAAAGAATTTACCTTATATTTTTAATTAAGAAAGCACAAACATATTTCTACAAAATTCAAACAGTAATTATATTTATAAATATTTTTTTAATTAATTTACTTAAAAAATAATTATAATAAAAAATTAATTTTTGCATCAAGAGTAATATATATAATACAAAATTCATTTTTATAAAATTTTAATTATATTTTTAATCCCTAAAATTTGGATTGTTTTTCGGTCCCAAAATTTCAACAAAGTCATTTTAGCTTGTTAAAATGAAAAATAATAATACCTAAATTATACGTGAATGGTAAAAACTATTTTTTGTTTCTTAAATTTGAAGAATCAAATGATTTTTTTTTTAATTTGAAGAAAAATAACCAAGCTTAACTTTAATTTTAGAGCTAAAATATAGTTAAGACTAAATATATTCAAGCAAATTGTTTTATTTAAAACTTAATTTCAATTAAAACCAAGTTCACAAAAATGAGGTGTGTTATATACTTTATAAATACAATACTATACGTTCGAAATAAACTTACTTGGGGTTGAATGAATGATATAGAAGTAGAGGAAATGAGGTTAAATGGCTGAAATATAATTGAAAATACATAGTATCACCATAAGGAAATTGATTATTGTATTAGGATCAGTATTATCGTAATATTTCATTATAGAGAAAAGCTTATTGTAAACGTGGTTTGATTTGGTAACATTTGTTGGCAGAGAATTAAAGTGGCACGTGAGAGTGATGAACAGCCAGTTTTTTCTTTGCCAAAAGTGAAAGTTGAGAGTGTGAGAAGGCAAACAAATGAGAGCAAGCAAAGCTGAAATTGACGGGAGAGCATGTCCTGTTCTGTGTTTGTTTCATTTGAAATAGAAAATAAATAAATAAAAGCCAATAGCCCTTTTATTATGATTGACTTGGGTTGGCAAAGAGCGCAATATTAATGTTAGTCAACGGTCAAGTTTGAAAATTTTTATTGTTTTGGATGTTTATTTTGGCATTGACCATTGACTATAGAGCATGATTTGTATGCAATGTTTGGTTTGGTTCGGTTTTGATGCAATTCTCAGGGTTGATGCAAGGTACAGTGAAGATTTGGTCAGCCTATAATGGTTTTCAAAATTATTTTCCCAATTTAATCAGCAATGAAATGATTACCAGGTTCTTTATATGGCAAGTTGGAAAAAGTAACCCAGATTCTACTAAACTTTCCATCTACGCTGCTTTTATCCTTCACTCAGTGTGTGAGCTTTGTATATAAATAGGACTTCCCTAAGCCTTCAAAGCAATAGCAAATATAGTTGTTTTGGTGAAGGGTGAGGGAATTGCAGAGACAATGGAGAGGAATATGGCAAAGCAACAGCCTCAAGGTCTTGCCTCAAGGAGAAACCTGGAGAGGCTGCAGTTGGAGTTGAGCAGCATCAAACAAGGAGTTCAATCTCATGAACTGGGTCAGGGAAACAACGGAACTTGGGGGTTTCTTAGATATGGTATTGGGGAGGAAGCTCATGACCAAACCGAAGCAGATGGTCCTGAGTTTGATACAGGTGAAATTGAAGTTTTTTTATTTTTTATTTTTTGATTGTTTTATGTTAAAGTTTTCTATTTTTTTATTTCATAATATTGCCATACCAATGAAGATATTGAATTTTGGACGTGCTTTTTGTGGCTTTTTAAATGGAGTCTTTTAAACCATGCATGAAATTTTTCAGTGTTCAATTACGTAGTTGAGGAACCAGTGGTTGACATGAAATTTCCTGGGGAACCTGCTCCAAACTCCAGTGGTATCCACCGTGGTGAAGGTTTCTCCCGCAATGCCTCAGATATTTCCAACGTGATAGGGTATGATTTCCTTTTCCTGAAAATACAATGAACTTCTCCGTCTCAACTTTTAGATATATAGGGTCATGGTCAATGGAAATTTATGGTATACTTTACCTCTCTATTCAGGATTGCAGATGTCATGGAGTTCCAGCGGGCACATCAAGAAGAAAAAAGGATGAATTTTGAAAGTATCAGTCTTGGCTTGGATAACGTAGAGAAGAAGATTCAACGTGACCTCGATGATTAGTTGACTTATGATTCTATGTTCCATTGTTTTCTCTGTTATGGATTAATGTTATTTCTGTCATTTGAACAATAAAAGGGCTATGATATAGCTCTTCATGAATGGTTGAAATACTGGCTATTATGGTTTTTTAAATATATTTTTTGAATGCCATATCTTATTCCAAAATTTGGTATATTGAGTGAAATTTCCGAGATCAACGTATATAACTTTGGATCATGCCAAAGAAGGAAGAAAATATTAGTTTGTTTTTGTGTAAAAGTACAATATATGTTAAGTTTTTATTTCAAGTGTTTATCATCGTAAAGAAACAGAAAGAAAGTGAAATATAATGATGAGTATGTGGAGATGGCATTATCATATATGCTTGTTATTTATTTAAAAGTTAATTAGATTTTGAGCCTGTTTAAAATCAATTTAAAAATAAATCACCAAAAACTGACTTTGGAACTAAAATCAATCAAAACACATATTTATTTATGTCTTTGCGTGGACAAATTTTAGAATTGTAGAGCCATATCATACGACATTGTAATAGATTACAACATAATGGAAGTTGTGAGAAAATAAGGCCTCATTATTTGAACAAAACTTGTAAGAGATTCTTAAAAATAATACAAAATAGTAAACCATAAAACTCTTGTACAGGAGATGCTCTAACATCCTTATTATTCAAAGATAATTTTAATAATAATAATAATAATAATAATAATAAAAATAAATATGCCTGAACGTATTTTTATGGTGAAATACACCATATGAACAACATTTAGATAGATATGTAGAAGTAGATCTACACCAGTTTTGGTTGATTTCAAGTAGGGTTGGCAAAAACAAAATGGGATGTGTTAATAATATTCACGTATTAAGTTATGAGCTTGTATGACACTGCAAAGAGATTGACACCCAACATAGGATTTCTACATCATCAAGCAAGGGTTGCATAACTTGAGTATGTAGGGTTTGTTCCACGTCATACAGAAACACCAAAGCAAACCTGTTTCGTGATTAGGACATTTTTGTTAGTAAGAATTATTTCAGAATAAACATCAACATTTTATTATGGATCCGAGTAGTAAAAACTTAACTAAGTTTTTTATACAAGTAATTTTTTGTCTAATTTTAAACAATTTTTTTCAATTTTAAATAATTCTGATATAGAATTTATGATAAAATATTTATTTTTATTTTTAAATAACTTTTGATAGCCACTACTATTATTAGGTTGAAACTTTGTTGAGCGTACCTTTTGCCCTAGAACAGGTTTAATAACCCCAACAAATTTCAATTCAATCGGAGGCTTATTATTTATTTACATGTTACTGTTTTTTTTAAATATTTCATGCTACATGTTACTATTTTTTTTCTCATTCTATGTAAATTGAAAAAAAAAAAAATAACAACAACAACAACACTAATAATAATAATAATAATAATAATAATAATAATAATAATAATAATAATAATAATAATAATAATAATGGCATTGACATGTACTTAATAGTAACTGTTGTATATTTATTATGATGTATTCAGTCATAAAATAATATTATAACAATAATAATAATAATAATAATAATAATAATAATAATAATAATAATAATAAATAAGGTCTGAATTTATAAGAATTAAAAATATAATACTAAACTTTGACTTTTTTATATATATGACTTTAAGAAAACTTTATTTAATATTATTTCTATTAATTTATGATTATTAAAACTTTGAAATCATTATAATTAATGTAATTGATTTATTTCTTCAACAAATTTCAAACTGAATTAAATTTACATATTACTTTTTATAATTCATCATTTAAAATTTACCGAACTGTAGCAATAAAGTTCTTATTTGAAATTAGTATTTTTAGAAATATTATTTAAATAAAACTTTAAAAAGTAACTTATACTTATTTAAATTTGAATTTATACAACTTATTATTAATTGAAATAAAATATTATAGTTACTTTATTTTCTCCAGTGATATAAAATCATTTCTATAATTATTATTTATGTTAAAATATATTTTAAAGTAATTAAATTTTCAAACAACATAAAAAAATTGTAAATAAGTAATAATATAGTATTCAATGTTCTTGTTACAGTATTTATATATCTTCAAAATATTCAAGATTTGCATAAAACCAATTAATAAATCTTATTAAATATATTTTATATTTTAAATAAGTTTTATTAAAAATAGTAATTACAATAATAATAATAATAATAATAATAATAGTAATAATAACTTATATAATAATATCTAAGATTTGAATGAAATTAATATATATATATATATATATATATTGATAGTTTATTAATTAAATTTATAATATTTAAATATCATTTATAATTTTTAAGATTTGAATTAGAAAAATATTAAATATTTTTTAAATAATTATTTATAATAATGATTCTTATTATTATTAAAATTTTAACATATATTTTTAAGATTTATTGTTATATTTTAAAATTCTAATCCAATTTTATTTTTAAAAGACATATTTTTAAATTTAGAGAAAAACTATATAAACTATTGTTTAACCTTGAATTTAAAATGGCGTGGATTTATAAACATACCATGCACAATCTTATATCTTATATCTCCTGGTTCATTAACACTTATTGTAAAACGTGGTTTAATTTGGGAATATGTTATGGCAGAGAATAAAAAATTAAAGTGGCACGTGCGAGTCATCCATAGTCAATCTTTTGTGAGTCAGAAGGCAAATAAATGAGTAAACAAAATTGAGATGATACAAAAGCATGTCCTGTTCTGTGTTTCTTTCCCTTTTGAATTTAGAAAAAAATTGAATAAAAGCAAATATCCCCTTTTTCTGTGATTGACTTGGGTTGGCTCAGTGAGCAATGTTTAGTGTCATAGCTCCCTTTCTGCTTTAATTTTCTTGGTATTTTTTTCAATGGTCAAATTTGAAAAAATTTATTGTTTTGAATGTTTATTTTTTGGCTTTGACCATTGACTGTTCCCACTGAACATCATTTGCATGTAACCGTTTATTTAAAGTCTATGCAATTCACGGTTGATGGAAAGTACAGCCAAGATTTTCATGTTTGATCAAAACTAGGCCTGTGTGTAGTTCTTTCTACTCAACTTTCCATATATGCTGCACTTATCCTTCACACACTGTGAGACCCTTTTGTATATAAGTAACACTTGGTATGCCTTCAAAGTTATAGGACAAGAAGTTTCTTTGGTGGAGAATTGAATCAATTGAAGAGACAATGGAGAGCAAGTTGCCAAAGGAAAAGCCTAAATCTCTTGCCTTAAGGAGGAACCTGGTGAGACTCCAATTGGAATTGAGAAACATCATTCAAGGAATGCAGAGAAATAACGGGACTTGGGGGTTTCCTAGATATGGCATTGGAGAGGAAGTTGATGACCAACCAGAAGCGAATGGTCCTGAGTCTTACAAAGGTGAAATTCAAAACATTTTAATTTAGATTGCTTTTATGCCACAAAACCTTACTCATGCAGATCCCTTTGAGACCATACAGCAAAATTTTCAGTGTTCAATTACACAGATGAAGAACCAGTGACTGAGATGAAGTCTCCTGCCAGGGGAAGCAAAGCTGAGCTAGTGCCTGAACCACTTTTGACACCGTTTATCCTCAATGAGTCTGCTCCAAACTTCAGTGGTGAAGGTTTCTCTAGCAAAGTCTCGGACCTTTCCCAAGCAAAAGGGTATTGCATTGAAATGTCTGCATAAAGAAAAAATATCAAGCATGAGAAACTAAGATTTCGAAGTGCAGTGCTTCAAAAGAATGTAGTTAAAATGAACTGTTTTTCCTCTATAGTCATTATACCGTGTTCTAGTAAATGTTATAAATCTAGAGATATAACAAATCTTACCAGAAGGAGATTGACTTCCCTTTTCTGAGAAGATAATTATTAGAAATATCCGCAATACAATGGATGTGATGCTGCATAATAGGCATAGAAATAAGGTATATGCAAGGCTAAATTCTCTTCTTAAACCCAAATCTGAAATACTGCTGATGTGTTTTTTGCAGCTCTGGGACAGATGCACCTCGGAATTTGAGTGATGAGAAGGATGCTGAAGAGAAGAGGGTGATGGCATCTTTTGTGCAAAAGTTTGTATTATAAGCTTTGATCAAGGAAATTTGCATCTAAGAATTTATTGGCACAAGGATATATAATAGTTAATCTAAGCATTGATATAGGATGAATATTTGAACTAATTTATGGTATATTTTACATCTATACAGGATTGAAGATCTTATGGAGTTGCAGCAGGCAAACCAAGAAGAAAATCGGATGAATTTTGAAAGTTTCAGTCTCCGCTTGGATGAGATAGAGAAGAAGATTCAACGTGATGATGATTAGTTGGCTTAGGATTTTTTGTTTCTTTGTTTGTTTTTTCTGGTTTGGATTAATATTTCGATGTCATTTGAATAATAAGTGGCTATGGTAATTTATGTTTTTTATTTTTCATGAATGGTTGAAATATGGGACACAGGGTTCTTTAATGATATATACCATGTCATATATTGCTTGAAAATTTGGTACCTTGATTGAATATTATTTCTCCGGAATTAATATTAACCTTTGGCATTTGTTATTAAGCACAAATATATGACTACTTTTTATTTTCTAGCTTATTATCAAAAGTCCCATGAAGTGTTTATTATAGTAAAAATGGAAAGAATGTAAAAGGATGTATGTGCTATAATGAATATATGAAAATCACACGTGTTTTGAGAAAACTTTATTTGAAGTGAAGGCGGAAAGACGTTGATTATTTTTATTATATTTAAGATTTATAAAACATGGTTGGTTTTACGTGTGGGTCCGTGAATCCACCTTAAAACATTTAGGTGAATTGGTAATTTTAATTAATTAGTTAATATTGTTCTGTTCTAGTTAACTTGTGAATCAGATAAATCAAGGACGGACAAAATAAGACGAATGAATTTGTTTTAAAAAATATTTATATATTAAAATAAAAATAAAAAATATTATAATTAAAAATATTATATTTTTTTAGTGTCATGAAATATGTAAATATATTATAATATTATAATATTATAATTTAAATTATAAATACTAATAAATAAGTTTAAATTATTAATTATAATTAATTATTTTAATATTAATAATATAGTCTTTTTTAATTTATGTAATAAAAATATTAATTAATAAATAAAAATTTAAAATTATTTATATAATTAAAGATATATTTAAAAAAAATACATACAAAAAATTTTATATAAAAAACGATTAGTAAGCTGACTTACTAATAAGTGACAGATCATCATACGTGTGTAATATCATCATCTAAACAAATTAAATTTGATAGATGTGACTTAACTGTAATAAATTTGGTGGGTATGATTTGATCATATTAAATTTGGTCTATGTTAATATTGAAACACTTGGTAACATTGGTAGAACATCCTCAAATAAATGAGCAAATAAAAACTTTTAACAAAGTCATCCTAAACGAGCTTAAGAGAAAGCCTAGTTAAGGAAATGGATATTGGGCCAAAGAGATATTAGTATACTCTAGGGATATCATTGCATTCCCCTATCTTCAACATATGAAACTCCTTTTGGCCTAACTTATGATACTAATGTCATGATACCAATTGAAATAGGTGAAGAATCTTGGAGAAGGAAAATCATAATGATGAAAACCTTAGAATTGAGTTAGATTTTGTAAATAAGGTTCAAGAGTCCTCACATACGATAAGTAACCATTAAACAACGAGTTGAAAGAAAGTATAACACAAAAATAAGAGAAAGAAACTTCCAAAAAGAAGGTTTGTTATTCAGGAGAGTCAAAGAAGTTTAAAAAGACCGAACAAATGAAAAATTAGCTTCAAATTTGGGATGAAATATATTGAGTAGTAGATGCATTTCAAAATGGAGCATACAAACTACAAGAGTTGTCCAGAAAAATGATATCTCAGACATGGAATGCAAAAACATATTATAGTTAAGGTAATCAACAATTACCTTAATCCTTGTTCAGGTGTAGCCACCAAAGTTTTATAAAACATTTACTTTATATTTGAATACTTATCTCTAAGCTAATATAAAAATTACAATTGTTATAACTCATCAAACTATATAAACACCTACTCACTCGCCTAGTAGAGACTAGAGTGAAAGAATGTACCTTTTACAACACGTGAACGAGCCCCCAAGGCTTACTTTCAATAAGAGTAAATAAACTTTATTACATATAAGTGATACATCAAAATCAAGCTCATTTCATCTATGATATACCACTGGCCGAGGTTGGATTAAATTTTAATTGAGATATATTTATACAAAAGTTAATACTAACAATCAAGTTTTATGAAATACGTTATTTAATATTATTCAAAATACAAAAGTCAAATTTTCCAAAGGTTTAGTCGTCCACCAAATTTCCACAAAAAATTGACATTTTAGGATTGAACAACCCGATATCTATACCCAAACTGATCATGCTAGCCTGCTTAATGACCATGTTGAAGCCATCCTCAAACATTTCTACCAATTGCTTCTCAACCACTCGGAGCTTGGCTGCTTACTTATCAAAAGTTGCTTGTAATTCGACAAGTTTAGGCTTAACAACTTTAACCTTCCCTTTGGCCCTAACCTCAACCTCATTTGCCAATTTCTCTGCAAGCTTAGCTCTAACAATAAAAACATATTATGACTCTAAAGCTCATTTACTTGAAGCACAAAGCTTGAACTTCTTTAGCTTTGACAAAGAGGGCTTACTCATGATCAGAAAAAATATATTGAAGTTGATCACAATTGGGAGTTGTTAGAGATTCAATGCAGCTACTACTTCATGATCTGACATATACAAAATGAAAACTTCATTCTTGATTCTACAAGAATTTTTATGAAAATATTTCATTTGCTTCTCTTTAATGGAGAGGTGAAAAAGAAAACAGTATAAAAAATTATATATTGATGAAAAATGAAAGCCAATGAAAAAAAATGAATTATAAATTAAGGTTTAGGTTCAAATTAGATCTTGTTCATGGATTAATGAAAATATGCAAAAGATCTATTTGTCTTTGTCATTCTATGAGTCTTTTCCTTTTTGCATACATATAGTCATTACCTTTGGTAGCATCCACTAATTCAGAACTTAATTTGAAAGTCATATTTCGACTTGTTTTTTCAAGGCCAGCGAATCCTTTATCTGCAGAGCCTCACCTCAGTGCATGTCAGAAACAATGTTTTTCCAATAATGAATGATAGACATGCATCAACCCATCATGACCTTGGTCGAATCCAAAAATTTCATAAGACCAACTGTTTTGAACATATCCACATTATGGGATAGGAAAAAGCATCTCCCACCTTCATTCCTTCATTAGTAAGATTGATATGCCACATAGGATTTGTGTTTGGATTATCAATAAAAACGTGATCAAGACGAGTTAATGGACCTTTAGTTCCGCAAAGGACATAAGTAAGTGGATGAGGAAGGGCCTTTTAGGGGATCCATAGTCAAAGAGAAACTGGTGGAGTAATGTTGATCGTAGGCATATCACCTATTGTCACCTTAGGTTATTGTTATACCAATTGTGAATGAATAAGAGGAGGTGACCGTTCGAAATTCACAACTTTCAACCTTTTAGGAGTACGATCAATGCCCCCAGAAATGGCTTGAGTTGTAATGTCATCATTAATCTTTATCCGAATCATTTTGTAATCAAAATCCAGTCCCATGATCTCTAAAAAAATAAAAGTTAATTAGCCAACAAACAAAAGAAGAATTAAAGCAGAAAATCCAAATCATGTCTTAACCAATAACTAAGCTCTTGGGTCCTCAACAAAAGAAACAAATAGCTTATCTCTACAGTTGAAAGGACAAGGGAGACTTGACAAAATTTTAATATTAGCTTTGTCCTTAGAAAAAATAGATGCTTAGCCTGAGATTTGAATTTGTGAGGAATCCACCAATATAGAGAAAAATGGGGTGTGTATCGGGGTTGAAAAAAAGTCATCCAAAAGCATCATCTCGGGTATATTTGATTTTAAAGGAAGATGAACAAATTACCATGTTGGAATTTTTCTAAAGACACCTAGCCAATCTCTTGACCACGTTTTAACTAATAAAACTTCATCAATTTGTTGACACTAGGAGACAAGTTCAACATGTCACAAAAAATTCAAAAACCTTTTAAGAAAGCCAAACTATTAAGTTGAAGTTGACTCAGAGCAACACATAGAATGGATAGCATATCACACTCAAAATTAGAAAACATTACAAGGATATCCAAATCTTTAAATCAACATTCATACACAAAGGTAAAGTCCTCAAAATCAAAATAGGTTTCATATAAACATGATCAATTAAAGAACAAGCTTTAGCAAGAACAAACTCCACATTCAAATTAAAACAAATACCAAAAGTCTTACAAATATCTTCTAGTGAGGACGCAATAGTAAAAACAAAAGAGTAGTGGTCCACCTCCTTAACTACCCAACTATATTTAGAATAAAAAATAAGAAGTAACCTGCCTTTCAAATCCCCTTGGTAGTACTTGGACCTACCATAACCATATTTTATGAGACTTTTTAGGAAGCATAGCAATAGTAGCAGCCACCACCACCAGGAGAAACCCTTATCTTCATAGAAGAGCTCAAGAAATTCTTTTCTCCCATGGATTCATGGTCAATTGATAACATGTATTTTGTATATACATTTAAAACTTTATAGTGAATGCACTTTTTGTTGGTATCACGCAGCGGAATGTTTGCGTTAAGACAAAAACCAAGAGGAGGGGTGAATTGGTTTCTTATAAAAATTATCCCTTTAAAAAACTTTTTGCAAGATTTTACCGATTAAACGATAATATAATAGAGTACTTGAAAAATAAAGAGATAAGAGAAGAAGATTACACAAGTAATTTATACTGGTTCGGATCAAAAGACCCCACGTCCAGTTGTTAATCACTCTAAAAGAGGATTAACTTAGTCACTAAAATAATGATTCTCAAATAAATAGATTACAAATAGAAAAGGATTTAAAAACACCTCTCTTGAGTCACACAAGAGATGAACACCTCCTTTGAAGCCACAAAGAATGAAGACAACTTTCCTAGAGATGACACAACACTCAATCCACTGAGAATCCCACTCAATGATTCTTATCGCTTTTAGCCCACACTAGGTTTTCAAAGCCCCTTTTTCTTCCTTACTCAAAGTTCTCCCAGAAATCACAGTTCTTAACTTTTCTGAGTATGAAAAAGGTTTGTCATTTTTATAAGAGCATGAGAGTCCTTTAAATACAGTTTTAGGGTTTCTGATTTTAGGGTTTTCAAAAATTAGGTTTGAAATTCGAAATTCAAATTTAACACAGATAATCGATT